GGGGGGATTATCACTTTGTGAGGGGTTCAAATGTTTAAACACTATGTTGCTTTGTACACCTGAAACTAATAAAAAATAAATAGAATTAAAAAGAAAAGAAAAAAATCTGTTTATACCACCTTACTGTCTAGCTCTGGTTTTCTTTGACACCCACCCCCACTTCCAATATCAAATAGGGGTAATATTATTGAAATAGCAGAGTTATTAAGCCCAAATGTGAGATGCTATTGCACTGCATTTTAATCATCAAATATTTAATATTTATTTAATATTAGATGTTGCACAGCACACAAAAATAAATAATAATATTTCCTGACCTCAAGGGATGCTTGATGTGGATAACAAACATGAGAACAAATTGGCCAATATTTATTACAAATTATTTTATGTGGCAAATATAAAGATAACCTTTTTAGATTTTTAAGATTTTTTTTTTTTTGCAAATGGCACTATCTTTTCTTATGGCAGAATAGTATTCCATTGTGTATATATACCACGACTTCTTTATCCAATCATCTATCAAAGGACAGTTTGGTTGTTTCCATGTTTTGGCCACCATAAATAAAGCTGCAATGAACATCGGAGCACATATATAAATCTTTACAGATAAACGATTTCAGATTTTTTTGGTAGACACCCAGTAGGGGGATTGCTAGGTCATATGGTAACTCTATTTTTAATTCTTTTAGGAATCTGCACACTGCCTTCCATAGTGGCTGCACCAATCTGCATTCCCACCAATAGTGTATGAGGGTTCCTTTTTCTCTACAGCTTCTCCAACACTTGCTATTATTTGTCTCATTGATGATAGCCATTCTAACTGGTGTGAAGTGATATCTCATTGTGGCTTTTAATTTGCATTTATTTGATGATTAGTGATGAGCATTTTTCATATGTCTATTGGCCATCTGTATGTCCTCTTTGGAGAAATGTCTATTCAGGTTCTTAATGCTAAACGAAATAAGTCAGACAGAAAAGGTCAAGAGCCATATGATTTCACTGATTTGTTGTATATAAAACTTAAAACAACAAAAGAACAAGAAAAACTAATGAAGAAACAAAATTCATAGACACAGAAAATAGTTTAGTGGTTACCAGAGGGTAAAGGGGGAGGGAGTGGTCAATGAGGGTAAAAAGAATCAAATGTATGGTGATGGAAGAACTGACTCTGGGTGGTGAACACACAATGAGATATACAGATGATGTATTACAGAATTGTACACCTGAAA